GATTTTAATGTCATGTAGGCATGAAACCAGAGTACCATTGACAACTCTAACTTGTTTCAACCTTTCTCGGAATTTTCTCACCAGCGGTGTCTTGGGCCCATGCTTTGTCCTTCAGAGCCTGGACTCTTGTTTTATTAGCCTGACATTTTGTTCTGACCTCTGGTGACAGCTTCTGGCCTCTGGCGTGTACTCTGTTTAGTCGCTTATTTATAACTAATGTTCTTCTGCTCGACTCAGACAAACTCATTGATTTGCGATCTGGTCACACTTGCGTTGCTCTGTCTAATATAACATCTTCTCTTTTTCTCTAGCATCTCTCTTTTTGCCATGACATTTATTCAGCTTCTTGCATTTTCATTTTGCTTTCTCTCCTACTCTGATTACAAATTAAAAACGTCTGCATTATACCAGCGAGGAAAAGCTATTCCAGTTCAGAGAGATCACTGCGAAGCATACCTTACATCTTTAAAGCACTTTATGATTTCATAGAGCATCTTCACACACACAGTATCTTACTTGATCCTCACAACAACCCTGTGAGGTAGGTGTTAACATGTTCATTACACAAATGTGGAAATCAAAATGCTGAGATACCCATAGGCATACTCTCTAGAGTTCTACTAGCATCTGAATTGTATGAATCTTGGGTCTTAAAGGAAAGAAGAGTTGTGAAAATGTGGTCTGTTGATCAGTAGAGACAAACCAAAAATATAACATGGAATCCCATAAGAGCTTTTTACAACAAAAGAATATTGGTATTCTTTTTCATGATCAAAATGTTTTTGTTTGAAATGACCAGGTAATATAAGTTTTATTTTTGGTTTAAATGGGTTAGATAAATCGCCCAAGTTCGACTTCACTTCAAAACTTTTATATATATAAAATATACATATATATAAAATATACATATATATGTATATATACACATACACACACTGTAATTTGGAAAATAGGAAGATGAGAAGGTAAACTCAGAATCAATTTTTTTTTTTTTTTTTTTTTTTTTTGAGACGGAGTCTGGATCTGTCGCCCAGGCTGGAGTGCAGTGGCCGGATCTCAGCTCACTGCAAGCTCCGCCTCCCGGGTTTACGCCATTCTCCTGCCACAGCCTCCGGAGTAGCTGGGACTACAGGTGCCCGCCACCGCGCCCGGCTCGTTTTTTGTATTTTTTAGTAGAGACAGGGTTTCGCCGTGTTAGCCAGGATGGTCTCGATCTCCTGACCTTGTGATCCGCCCATCTTGGCCTCCCAAAGTGCTGGGATTACAGGCTTGAGCCACCGCGCCCGGCCCAGAATCAATTTTTTAAAAATATTCTAAGGAATTAAAAACTCTTTATCTCCTCTGCATACCTATCCAGCCCTATTCTTCCCCCAATATAGCTTAGATGTATTGTAATTGCTTGTTCATTTGTCTACATCTCTCAGGGACAGTTAGCTCTGTAAAACCAGAGACAGGATCTCTCTTATTAGATGTTATGTCCAGCTCATGGAGGTACACAATGGACATGTGAATTAATGAATTAATGAGTGAATGGATTTTCTTCTGACATCCCTATCTCTGGTTGAGAATAATCTTTGAATAGAAATAACTTGCATATTATCAGTACCTGTGACAGTTCTCCTAGAACCCAATAAATTAAATTGGGTTCTAGACTATAGGTGAATGGGTGTAGTCCAGACTGTGAAACAGAGCGAGACTCTGTCTCTTAAAAAAATAAAAATAAATAAAAAAATAAAAAAAAAAGCCCTTGACTCACAGGCTTTACTTGGATCAAAAATGCGTTGGAAAAAGACCAGCATTCATTTAAGATTGAGCTGAGTCCGCAGTAAAAATCAAATGAAAAACCAATGGATTTTTCCTATCATTGTATGAGTTTTAGATAGGATACTTAAAATTCACATCCTAGTTGTAGTCTCATTGCACATGAGCAAAGAATGATGAGAAATACTACCAAACCACATATTGGTAATTGAGATATTTAGGACAGAGCCTCACATAAGTCTTACACGATATGGTAGGAATCATTTTGCTTGACTGAAACATCACTCTTCCACGTTAGGGTGAGAACACAGCAGTTCTCCTAGAACTCAATAAACTAAATTGGGTTCAAGACTCAAGGTGAACGGGTGACAGAGAACTGAGGACTGGTTAGAGAAGCCCTCCAGTCCATGCATTAGAGGTGTCTAGGTTGGGGGTGATAGGGGAGAGGAGTGATGGTGGCGTAACTGGAGTAAGTAGAGGTATGAGCGTGGGAGCAGAGACCCAAACAGCACCAGGGAGCAGGAGAGGAGGCCACGTGGAAGTCAGGTACAACACAGGAACCAAGGTCATTTGGAGGAGTCACAAAAGGATCTTGGAAGTCAGTTGTGCAGATGACTTGTCCGGAGGCGAAGGGCCTTTTAATGAGATGGTAGCAGAGGATGTCCCGCCCTACCCACCTGATCTTAAAAGGGCCCCGCCCTCATGTGATCAGTGAGTTGTACTGGTCCTGACACATGTATGAAAGAGGAAATTAATTAGTATTTTTAATCATATTTAAAGAAAGCCTGAAAAAATTTTTAAAAAGCATATTAAAAAACTCAATATACATTTTCACCTACCAGAAGTAACTAAAGATGTGGGGAATCAGGTACTTTCATACAGAATAAGTTGGTACAAGCTTTTAGCAGCCATTTACAAGAATTCATCAAATGGTAAAATGAATATAACCTTTGAACCATTGATTCTACTTCTAGCAAATTCCCTATTAAAAAGTATTCCCACAAGATTATATCTTGGAGTGTTGAATATACCATTGCTTATTAAAGTCTGACCAAAGCAAACAAAAATCATTTAGTGTTCAGGACGAGAGGGGTGAATGGCTATATTATGGTAATTACGGTATAGCTGAGTAATAGAATAACGTGTAGCCATTGAGAGAAAAGAGAGCCATATTTAATATGGACAGATGACTGACATATTAACATCAGCAAAAAGCAGAATATACCACATTAGATGTTTATGTGTATCATTCTTTTTTAAGCATTATGCAGTTGTTATATACTCTATATGAGGAGGGAGGACCTGGTGGAGAATTCAGAGGCTGTATACAAGCATCACTCTTACTGCTTCCTCAAAGAAAGTATGTACATAAACTCCAAAATAGCCGTTAAAATATCTGTAACTGAAAACATTTCTGAACATATCTGAAGAAAATGTTCAAAGCATTTGATAACCTTAGGTGATGGAAGACAGTGGGGTGCTATTTGCAGACTAAAAATTTAAAAATTGCTTCTTATTTGCAAAGCTTGACTAGAGTCAATGTTAAGAAGCTCAGAGAAAGCCTCAGGAAAAGGAGATAAAGAAAAACAAAAGATAAAATAAAGGCAGAGATAAAGATAAACATAAGGATAAGAAGGAGAACTTTTCAGGAGGAGCTTAGCTGAAAGTAAATGGAGTGAAAAGGAGAAACAAAGAAGTAAGTCGAGTAAAACATATACAGCAGGTGGGCCGGGCACAGTGGCTCATGCCTGTAATCCCAGCACTGTGGGAGGCCGAGGTGGGCAGATCACAAGGTCAGGAGATTGAGACTAGCCTGGCCAACATGGTGAAACTCTGTCTCTACTAAATAACAAAAATTAGCTGGGCCTGGTGGTGTGCACCTATAGTCCCAGCTACTCAGGAGGCTGAGGCAGGAGAAGAATCATTTGAACCCAGGAGGTGGAGGTTGCAGTGAGCCAAGATGGTGCCACTGCACTCCAGCCTGGTGACAGAGTGAGACTCCATCTCAAAACAAACAAACAAACAAACAAAAAACACCACACAAAAAAAGTATACAGCAGGCAAAAGTGACCACTTTAAAGAACAAATGGATACAATGGAGAAAAGACAGACTAATGATTCTTTGTTTTAATATAATAATAACAATAATCCTCATTAAGTAACACTAAAGTACTCAGAAAAAACACAATACTCTGTTGTACTTTGAAAGCATCATGATTACACTAATGACTATTCTAATGGCTGGTATTCACCACCACGCCCTACTTTGCCTAAATATGGCATACCTACACAGTACTAGGTTAAAATAATTAGGTTTTGTAAGACAGAGAAATTGGTACTGTGTATTTCTAGATAATGATTACGACTAAAAACTGCTAGATTTTGGTACATAAAAGGATTTGCCATTATCTGTCTAAAACAGACCCCTGATGATTAACTATGAGCACCCTGTTTGTATCAGCTATCCCATGGACACATAGACACACACCCATCACATGTAGTTCCTACTGGGAATACAGAACAGGGAGCCTTTTGATTCTGAGAAGTTAAGTGGGTGTTCCATATTCCTCTTCATAATCCTTTCATCATATCAGTATACATTGAGCCTAGACACAACAATTGACTTACAGCATGGCAAATAGAACACATCTCATCTAATACTCAGTTTTCAAGGTCCAATTAGCAGATTGTTTATATTGTAACATGAGGTCAGCATTAGATTGACAAATATTCTTGTGAAATCTATTCTGTTGCAGGTTTAAAGGTTTAGAACATGGAATACCACATTTCAAGTTTTTAGTAAAATAAACAAAACAAAAAGCCCCAGCCATCAGAGTGTTAATTTTTCAGGGTTCTTAAACTGTTCAAATTCTTATATTTAAGGGTTCATTTAGTAAGGAAGGAGGTTGTAATTGTTTCTACTCATAAGCTTGATTTTCCCTCAGTGGATACAAATTGACTTGAAAATTGAACAATTTTCTATGTGGAATATTTAGAAAAAAGTGTTCATCAGAAAAACAAAAGACAAACGGATAATGAGATTGAAAGAGTTGTATAATAGAATGTATTTGTTTTACCCCAATTAGCATGCTTATTTGTAGAAAATTATGTTTGGCTTCCATACAGTCTCTCTGGATCTGTGCTGAAGTTCCCAACATTTGCCTCAAACCCAGATCTCTAGTATCATAGACTTACTTATTACAAGAATTCACACAGAAAACAAAACACTATATACTTACTTAGTGTGTTTCCACTCCCCTTTTCCCCTTTCTGGCCTTTTGGTCCAGAATTTCCTTAAGAAAAGAAAAAAAATATATTTGTTTTTAATCAGGGCAATTCACAATGTTTGCTTTAACTGCAGACAGATCGTCACAAGGTAATTAAAATATAAATGTATAAGAACTGACAGATATTGAAATGTTTAATAGCATTGACATTAATAATAATAATAGTTATTACTTAGGAAGCTCCATTCTGAACCCAGTATTGTGATATTTCAAATTATTTACAAGGCCCTAAATGCCCCATTTTCGTAAACCAAGCAAATCTGAAGAATAAGGAGCTTGTTTTGTACTTATTCATCGTCCTTTTCTCCTCCTCCTTTGACTGGTCTTACTCACACCCCCAGGAAGTCCAGTGCCTTCCATCAGCTCCCACATCCCATTCTTCTATTCACATTACAATTTATGGTTTTCATTTCTTTAGAGTGTACCATCCCCCAAAACTGGGCTGCCAAGGAATTTCTGGGAGTGTTGAGATCCTTAGTCATGGAGAAGGTAGGAAGATCCTTGGAGCATTCTCATCTCTAGGATGATCACCTTTAGTTTGGAGAAATCTCATCCATTTATACAGGGGTGTGGTACAAATGTTTTATACGAGGGTCAGGGCTTCAAATGGATGCGGACACATTGCTAGATCTTGGTCTTTGCCAAGGGGTTGCTACTTCACCCACTGTTGATTTTTAAAGGGGTCTGCAGATCTTTCTTTAGTATCAAGAAGATATTTCATCTCATAAGTTTGGTGCTGTTCCTGCTTAGTGATTTTTCTTCCAACAGCCATCAGATACAATCAGATCTTGTTAATTATTGTCTTGACACAAATGTAGAACTGATCCGAGTGCTCTCTGTCTCTAAGTCAAAATCTTTGTTAATGTTTTTGATTCCCTTCAGCATAATCGAGAACCTTCAACCTTTTCATCCTAGAGCTCAGAGGATGTAGTTTAACAATCATAGACTTCGAGAGAATAATAGTAATAATTTAGAAACCCTTGTGTTGAGTTATTTTGCTCTGCCACTTACTGGGTATGTGACTTGGGACAAGTCTTTAAATCTTTCTGAGCTAAAGTATATTCTTCTAGGAAATAAACAAATAATGTTTTCCATTGTAGAGTTGCCTGTTCATTACGCACTTTGCCCATAAAAGATACACATAAAAGATCTAGTTCTTCTTATTTCTATTCTTCACCTCCTAAAGCTTAGCTGGAATCTTCTCTCTGTGATTTTATTCTCAGGGAATGAGAGAAAACCTTTTTCATCTCAGTTCATTTTTTATGGTACAATTATATATAATTTTAGGGTTTACATGTATTTTTGATTTCTCTAGTTTACATTATCTTCATCTGTGCTTTATTTTGAACACGTGTCATTATGTATTTCTTAGAGAAGATTTTTGGATCCTAATTTACCAACTTAAAAAAATACATATATATAATATAATGTATATAATTAGTAGCATGAGACTTGAGGCACTTAAAGAGTAAAAATTATTCCCAATTGAAACTGTATTTTGAAGATTTAATGAAATGCCAATCATTTTATATCAGGGTCATAATACCAAATTTCTAATTCTCTAATTGCTTTGCATAATGTGATTACACTTCATATCATTACATTCATTTCTTAATTGTAACTGAGTTGTTTCAGGTACTGTTAAATTGGCAAAAATCATTGTTACCACAAAGCACCCAAAACCTTTCCTATTTTTTGAGAGCATGCTTTAATAAAATATAGTACCAAATTTTCAGATTGTCCAAGACGAAAAAGGTCTAAGAAACTGTTAAAAACTTGGGAGGGGAGGAGTTAAAACAAAGTGTAACTTATCAGTTCTAATTCTTTTCATAAAAGAGAACATAATAAGCAAGCTTAATTTCATTATTTCAACATTATCTTCACAATGAGAAAAGAGAAAGAAACTATGTATTGTTCTTAGAAGCCTTTTCACACAGCAACTTGTCTTAGATATTTCAGAACAGACATACTTAAGCCAGAGCACTGACCCACGAAAGGCCCTTGTAGCTCTCAGATTCCATGATAAATAAAAAATTACTTTCATGTTTTTATTTTGCTTTTGTTCTTACACCACTGTGACTTTTCCTCTTAAAGATGGTAAAATGAAATGCCTTATCTCCTTATAAATAAACAAATGTTTTGTATCATTTTAACATGATTCAGAGATTTGCTTACCGATGATACTTAGAAATTTTTTTTCACACTTGAAAACATCAAAAATATCCTTTCTAAAGGAGAGGAATGTATTGGCTCCTCAGAATGATACCTTTGGTAAAAAATGAATGCAAGAGCTTGGTCCAAACCTAGAGTTAACTATCTCCTGTTCTATGTATTACTCTTTTAAAAAACGTAACTTACATTTCTAAAAGCCATTTAAAAATAAGAACCAGGTCATATGTAAGAGGATAGTCTAACTTGAAAGAATGTAAGAGGAGGTGTCTTCAATAACATCATCATGATGTCAAGCATTTTTAAGTGCCTCTTCTATGAGCCAGATACTAGGTTAGACGTTTTTGCATACATGCCTTAATTATAGTAACCAAATTTTCGCAGCTGTAGCCCGCCTCTCCACCCCCCGTGTTTTTTAAGCTATTTTGAAATGTGATCATCCTCTCTCCTAAGTCTAGTGCTTCTTCCTGGTCCCTGAATTCCTCACCTTATACCCTCTCGTTAACCCTACACTATGTTTTTGCTTTGCTGTCCTCTGTCTTCAGCCACTCCTCCTCTATTTTATCTTTCCATAAGCATGTAAATGGTACTCAGATCCCTCCTACAAAGAAAAAACAATGAAACAAACAAAACTAACTAAAAGTGCATCTCTTCCTCCTCCTCTGCATAGCAAGGCAGCTCAAGAGTTGGCTGTACCCCATCTCCAACCCTTATCAACCATTCCCTCCTCCACATACCCTAATCTGATTATCATCCCACCCCACAGAATCTGCTCTGAACAATGGCAACATCCCCGAAGCAGCAGTTGCAAAGAGCTTTTAGTAGACTTCACCTTACTTGACCACCTTTGAAACTCTCTCTGTCTTTGTCTTTTTTCATGCTCTATTCTCTGGGTTTTCTTCTTCAGTTGGGCTACTTCTCCTCCATTTGCTACTTTGTTCATCTCAGCCTGTACTTCTGGAACTACTTAAAGCTTTATGCTAAGCCTCTTCTCTTTGTACCTTCCTACTCTCTACCCATAAAATATTACTAAAATCAGGGGTTCTGAAGAATATTTATGTGATCATAGCTAAACTTTGTCTTTTAATCTCTGGCCTCTCCTCAAAACTTTAGACTCATGTGTTCAACCATCTGTAGATAGCTCCATGAATCACACAGAGAAAATGTTCAGTAAATGTGTTGAATTAATAAATGATATGTATGTCTAATATTTTAGATAATCCTGAAAATGACCCTAACTTACCCTGAGGGAGACAATCAGGCTTTGAATGAACTTCAAGAAGCAAAATGGACAGAAGCACGTTATTTGCATGCTGAAAGTTCTACTTTGCTGAACAAGGTAGAACAGAGTCTTCTATGGATTTTGAAGATATGCAAGGTTTCACTTCAATTAAATCCTCCAATCTTTCTGAAGTAAATATGTCAGGTCTTATACATGCACTACTCTATCGATCTGCTATGCATGGAGAAAGTATGAAGCTTTCTCTTTCTCTTCTCATGTTTGTGTATCTTTTCAGTTGTAGACTGTCTTATTTACTTTCCATTTCCCTGTTTCTAGCACTGTAACCTTATGAGCAGTGTGTACTTAATCCATGTAGAAGGAAAGGGCAAGGTGGGAAGAAAAGGAGTGTGGGAGGGAGAATAGAAGAAAATAGATGGAGGAAGTTCTTTTTGAACTTTTTGCTTCAGAATCTGATAACGTTTTTGATGTTATTCACATAGTCCAGGCTGTTAAAAAACTACAACTCAAGCAATGTGAAGTATCAAAGAGTGTTTATAACATAAATCGGTGTCTTAGCTCTGAAATACATTACTTTATCTATCATGGACCTGTTTTTACATATTTCATTTTTGACAATTATTGGACTTATTTCTAATTTTACCACCTTCTTCAGACTCCTATAGAGGAGAGACTGTATTGTTCCTTCTTCTAGTCTGCAGTACAACCAGAGCAGCACCCGGCACTGCGGCTCACATCTCTACCAGATTGGTGTCTTTTAATAAGAAGTGATGTCCTAAGGATATGTTTTGTCAAGGGACTTATTACCTCTGCCCTTGTTTTTCTTTGTGCTTGATTACTTTTTCTCTGCTGTTTTTTCCCACCTAAACATAATGGTTTTCAAAATATAGTCCCTAGACCAATAGCATCACCTTCACTTGGAAATTGGTGAGGATGCAAGCCCAATCCCAGACCTACCACATCAGAAACTCTGGGGTGGAGTCCTGTAAGCTGTTTTAACACATCCTCGTGGTGATTCCAATGCCTCCTATAGTTTGAGAAATACAAACCTAAAGAAATTCTAGGCCTCTTTTAGTCTGGCACTAACAAACACTACTTTCTATGTAACACATTTTCTTACGGTATGGAATTAATCACTCCATACTCTCTACTTCCATGCAGCATTTTGCCCAACCTCACCAAGGCTGTTTACTTACCACATGGCATTATAGCTAATTGCTTATGCATTTTTTTCTGTCTCCAGCTCCTAAAGAACAGCAGCTGTGCTGTATTTATCTCCAGCACACAGTGACCCCTCATCAAGTTGTGTGGACTGGGTGAATGAATGAAATAATCCTCTCCAAAGCTAAACATATGTTTACCACTTGATCCAGCAATCACACTCCTAGGTAAACTTGTGTCCACACAAAAGCCAGCACATTAATGTTTATAGCTGTTTTATGCATAATTTCTAAAACTTTTTTTTTTTTTTTTTGAGTCACAGTCTCACTCTGTCACTCAGACTGGAGTGCAGTGGCATGATCTCGGCTCACTGTAACCTCTGCCTCCCGGGTTCAAGTGATCCTCACACCTCAGCCTCCTGAATAGCTAGCATTACAGGCATGTACCACCATGCCTGGCTAATTTTTGTATTTTTTGGTAGAGACAGGGTTTCACTATGTTGGCCAGGCTGGTCTCAAACTGCTGATCTCAAATTATCCACCCACCTCAGTAATCTGCCTGCCTTGGCCTCCAAAAGTTCTAGGATTACAGGTGTGAGCCACCACGCCCAGCCTAAAACTTCAAAGCAACCAAAATGTCCTTTAATAGATGAATGGATAAACAAATTGTGGTATATCCATAAAATGGAAAACTATTGAGCAATACAAAGAAATGAGCGACCAGGCACAGTGGCTCATGCCTATAATCCCAGCACTTTGGGAGGCCGAGGCAGGCGGATCACGAGGTCAGGAGATCGAGACCGTCCTGGCTAATAGGGTGAAACCGTGTCTCTACTAAAAATACAAAAAATTAGCCAGGCATGGTGGTGGGAGCCTGTAGTCCCAGCTACTTGGGAGGCTGAGGCAGGAGAATGGCGTGAACCCGGGAGGTGGAGCTTGCAGTGAGCCGAGATGATGCCACTCCACTCCAGCCTGGGTGACAGAGCAAGACTCCATCTTAAAAAAAAAAAAAAGAAGAAAGAAAGAAATGAGCAATCAGACCAGGAAAAGATATAGAGAAAGCTTACATTCATTTTGCTAAGTGAAAGAAGTCCATCTGACAAGGCTACATACTGTATGATTCCAACTATATGACATTCTGCAAAAGGCAAAACTACGGAGTCAGTCAAAAGATGAGTGGCTACCAAGAGATGGTGGTGGGGAGGAATAGAGTTGGTGGAGCACAGGGGACCTTTAGGGCAGTGAAACTCTTCCGTCTAATACTGTAATGACATTATACCTCTGCTGAAACACATTAAATGTACAACACAAAGAGTGGCCACTAATGTACATTATAGATTTTGGTTAATAATGATATATCAATGTTGGTTTATTAATGGTTACATATGTACCACACTAATGCAAGATGTTCATAGTAGAGGAAACCATGTGTGCATGGGTGGTTTATGGGAACTCGCTATGCTTTCTGTGCAGTTTTTCTATAAATGTAAAACTGTTCTAAAAATAAAATGTATTTTTAAAATACCTCAGTGATAGGGACCCTATTCCTTTTATTTCTTTTTCTTATTTTTTAGAGACAGAGCCTCACTATGTTGCTCATGCTCGTCTCAAACTCCTGAGCTAAGCAATCCTCCCACCTCAGCGTCTCAGATAGCTGGGGCTACAGGTGCTCACCTCTGCACTTGGTCCAACTCTATTCTCTTGATGATTATTCACTTTGAAATTAGGAGACAGTAAGTCTAGCTCTTTCTAAAATTGCTGTTCAAAGTTTGCAATTCAAGCTTAGGCTACTGGCAGAGCTGATGGAAATAATATCATCATGCGTGTACATTTCAAAATGCTGAACAACCCTGATGATTAAGCACTAGTAGATAATAGCAGACAATTTATTTTGCAGAGGATAGGATTTCAGACTTCTCTGTATTTTGCTAACTGTAACTTCACAAAGTCTGGCCGGTTGTGGTTAAATGGGTATTTATACTTTGCTTCTTTTTTTTTTCTTTGCCAGTCTTTCAACTATCTTTGTTCAAAGATGGATATCATTGTTCATGATGATTTATTATTGTGAAAAGTTTATAAATCCTGTGTGTTTTTTTAAATGATTTTCCTTTGGGATATAGAAACTTTCCTCAGGTGAACAGAAGTCAGTTTCAAAAATGTGATTTCAGAAATCATTTTTAGACCACAAAATGTGAATACTAGTATTCACACAATGACCACTTTTTATCATCCAAGAATTTAAAAATATATATACTACATATATAACATTATGTATATATATAAATTATTTGGCATTTCTTCTACATATTCTATAAAGAAAATACACATTATCATAATACCTGGCCTTCCAGCATATCCTGGGAGTCCTCGACTTCCAGGAAAGCCAATTGCTCCCCGATCACCTTTAAGACCTGGAGGACCTACATTATTAATGAAGAAAAAAAGGAGGTAATAATTCATTTTCATACAGACTTGAGAGTATAATGAAAAATCTAGTTTTATAAGTGAATATGAAATTAGAGAATCTCCAAATGAAGGAATAGTATCTTTCCTAAAATGTATTGTTTGACATTGAAAGATAATATAAGCCACAAATATAAACCTTAGTACATTCAGCACATTGTAGCTATTCAAAAAATAACATATTGTTAGTAGAAATAAAAGCACATTAGAAAAAATAGATCTTGGAGTTTTAACCAGAAGACTTATGTAGTCAACCAGTAATCATCAAATGGCAGGATTTTGCTGTAGCTGAAATGACAACTTTAAAATGTATAAGCTGAAAATTGAATTCTTAAGATTCGCCTTAGAAAAAATACAACTCAAGCAATGTAAAGTATCAATGAGTGTTTATAAAATAAATTGGTGTCTTGGCTCTGAAATATATTACTTTATCTATCATGGACCTCTTCTTACATATTTCATTGTAATCCCATTGTAAATAAACATAAACACACACACACACACACACACACACACAGACACGATACATAGATTTACTTATGAGTATGTACTATATACTGAAACAAATCTAGGGTTTTATATGCTTAAATTAAAACTGAAAATGGCTATTTTTTTTACCCAATATTACTATGGTGATCATAACAACTGCATACAAAAGAAAATGTTATATTCCTATGAAATAAAATATTTTATACTAGAGTTCAGTGGTTCTTGATAAACTATTGTGATAGTTTCGGCATCTTATTTTGTGTCATTATCAATTCAGACAGATCTCATTCACCCACTTTCACTTCATCCCTTGGGGAGGCACATTGTAAGAAACTGATTACACATCTTTTCCCAATACCAGCATTTTGGAATATTACTTTTAGTTCATAAGTTCCAGAAGACAGGGCTTATATATATTAAATACATTTTAAAAATCTTTTCCTGAGGTTTATTAATAGAGACACCTAAAACTGGGCTAACTTCCCTCTAAGAAGCGCTCAGTTTAAAAAGTATATTACTCTTAATAGTAAGAAATATTAATTAATCCAGTATAAAACTTTGATTCCAACAGAAATTAAGCAAACTTCCAAAGCAATAAAGTGATAAACTATGTTTAGAACGATTGCTCCCAAAGCAATAAAGTGATAAACTATGTATAGAAATATTAGTAAAGTCAGGACATTTCAACTCAATTTAATTACAAAGTAGTATATATTGGCTGGACTTCATAGTACACAGCCTAACAAAGACCTAACATCTGTTCTCAGTACACGCTGATTAATATTTATACCTTCCTTCACTATGTAAGCAAGGTAGTGAGACTTCTGTACTTGTGGTTACTGAGACCTGTCATTCAAATTTACAAATAAAAACACTGACAGTAAATTCTGCCAATTTAAACAATTCGAAAACATTCCCCTACTCTTTGTAGAGTGCCATTCACAAGTAACCTCCACTTTTACTATTTCCTTCATTAATTCAAAAATATATATTGTACCAGTCTCAGTACATTCCTGGAGTTAAAAATATCCTTATCCAAACAGATCTTCCAGAGTGGAGAAACAATGAGAGACAGATAGTGAGAAAGGTAACAAGGAAAGACGGTAATTTGGGGGTTATAATTTTAGAAAAACTGGGTAATGGAATAGAGAATGCCATGGTGCCTGCTTTAGACAGGAGCATCAGAGAAGCCCCTCCAATGCTGACTTCTCAAGTACCTTACAGTGATGCTCAGAACACAGCTGTTCAACTAAAAATCAAGGTTGTTGAACTACAAATCAAGTACATTTTCAATGGCTGAGCAAATAAATCTGTAAATGAAGCATGTGAGATACTTTCATAGAAATCAGGCAGTCATAGAGCTCTGTTCTGGGAGATGGTTAAGCAGACTCTCTATGGCCTATGGAGTTATGTGACTTGTTTGTTTAATGAAGTTTGAAAATGTTGTCCCCAAAATATAAGCACCGCTGTTGAGCTTTATTGCATAAGATCAGATTCCCTGAGGCATTCAGGAGGCAATTAACTAATTTTCTAAAATAATCTGTGGCAGTGGGAAAGGGTCTGGCACCTACTTCTAACTCATGGACAATATAAGTACAATTACACGGAATCTCAGCCATGGGATGTTCCAAGAGACATTAGACATCATCCAATCAGAATCCATCATTTTACAGACAGTTCCATAAGATCCCAGTGATCAAATCACTTACATAAAGCTGGTCTGATAATTATTCACACATCCTAGGTGTCCTGCTCTGTTCTGGCTCCTTTCTGCAATGTAGCAGACTGGTTAAGGGCATGGATTCTGCACTCATGCCCATTGGGGTTCAAATACCGTCTTTGCCACTTACTAGTTGCTGACTGACCTCGAGCAAGTCATTTAACCTCCCTGTGCATTGCACCTGTAAAATGGGTGTATTATTTGTCTCCGCATCATCAGGCTGATGTGATAATTAAAAGAGCTCATACATGTAAACCACTTAGAAAAGTGCCTGGCATGTCATGAATACTTTGTAAATGTTAGCTTTTCGTGTTCTCCTCTCCCTCCTCCTCATCCTCATTATTTTCACCAGCCTGTTGTAAAGGCTTCTAAATTTAGTTTTATCTAACGATATGTACACAGTTAGCAGTGACACTGTTGTAAAGGCTTCTAAATTTAGTTTTATTTAACGATATATACACAGTTAGCAGTGACACTGTTTGATTCACTGGCACCATTTGTTACCTCCAGAAGAAACCCACTTTCAACACTCAGGCGTAGAGCGACAGCCTGGAACCAGGCAACGTTCCTTACTCAGGTGTATATGTAGGAATCCTGTCCTTGTTGAAGCCTGAGGGAGAGGCCTTCTTGGGCCACAGCCTATGGGAAGGGGTGGGCCAGGGTAAAGATATATGTGGATATAAACATTAATAAAATATGGTTCTTTCTTCCAATATCCATGGTTAAGATGAGCTTTATATTCTCTTCTGGAGGCACGATTACTATGGTAGAAAATTCAGACTATGTAAGGAAAGTAAATAGTATTGGTTGATGATGAAAAGTTTGCAGCCAGAGGAGCCTTCACTTCTCTCCCAGGGCATCTCACGTAGGTAGCCCCTTCCATGCCTACAGGTCAAACTACCTTGTTATTGATCACATGGACATAAACAGCTCCTTAGATGGCCCACCCAGAGATTCCTTTAGAAAAGAAAGTTGTTTCTCCTTCAAAACATTGTTGTCATGGGAAAACAACTCTAAAATTAGCCCCTTAAAAGGAATGCACGTGAGATCAAAAATCCTTGATCATGACATTTGCCTCACTTATATTATTACTCATCATCCTGGAAGCTCTGTGAATTCAGAGATTCTGTATCTGTTTACACATACTCTACAGGGTATTGTAGAAAACCAGGCCTGCAGAAAGTGGTCAGCACATATTTTTTGAGTGAAAAGTGATAGGGCGTTCTCCCTAACATGCTTTCAGGGAAATAGTCCTCTAAAATAAATTTGTTCTCATTTGGGGAATAAAGCATATGTAAACATAATATCCACCGCAGTATATCAGTCATAATTCTACGATATTTAATGTATTAGTTATTTGAGGCTACTAGGACAGCCATTTAGGTTTTGCAGATATTTGCATCATGATTGTGAGTCTAGATGAGTTTGATTTGGTCAAGCTGAGTTTAGTAGGCTCAAATGGATGTACAGATGGGGACGTGATAAACCTGTTCAATTTAGAAAGTAGAATTACTATGATTATCCATCATATACTCTTTGCTTCCTGATTTCAGTATCAAATATGAGGCAGTTAGACAATCTGGTGGAGAAATGAACAGAATGTAGCAAGTAATCAGGGAATAATTCATTAGGAAAGATGCCTGATATTTTGAATACTTTTCTTGCAGTGCACCAAACTAAATGGTAACCTGATACCCTAAAAGAGTCATTTGATTATCCCAGGAACTCGACCTGTCTTTTATGAGGAACTGGGTAATGCCTATTTGTGTAAATGAGCAGTACCAAAAGCAACAAATTATGACATCACTTTTTACCCTGTAAATTTAAACCATGACAAATTGTAAATTTACAATAAAAAAAAACAAAATCAAAGACACAAGCTGAAATTGACAAATCCTTCTATTTCATATATTCATAGTTCAGAAACAGCTGCAGAAGATTTTCCCAAGATGAAGCATTGTATGGCAAGCTGTAGCCCAGACTGAACTTTTATGGTTGAGTCATAGAGCTCTGACAATTGCAGTTTGTATGGAGGAGCTTACAGACCCTTGACAACAGTAGTCTGGCAGCAGATTTAATACTGATTATTTCCCCTGCTTATGACATTAATGCAACATTGTTAGTATCTGCTTAGCATTAGTCAAGTAGAAACGCTTTCCTGAATAAAAGTTCTTTCCTGGCAAGGCATTCAAAAGCACACCAATGCCAATACCATCTGACCTGGCATATTATATATATGGGGAGGATTGCTATTTTATATATATAATATAAAACACATGTACCTGGATGTATCATCTATCTTCCCATATAATATGCCACATACACAACACACACTATATATGTACATACGTATACATATATCTGCTTAGGTAGGTATCAAGTTCATGCTTTTCATTGTCAAAAATTATTTTTCTGATGTGACCAGGGCTAGTCAATACATTGATCAGAAAGAAGAACCTTTTATATAATCAAAAGACAGAAAAATAAGATGAAGTACGTGGTATTTAGACATTTTTTGGTAACACAAACCATTCTAGTTATAATTAGACCTCACAATATACTTCCTATCATCAAACAGCATGCAGGATATTTGATTTCTAGCCAAGGCTCACATGACAATCATGTTATTATCTTTTTTATTTTTTCAAGCAAAGAAAGTTCATGTTCTCTCTTCTGTGTCTTCTATTGTCTTTTTCCAAAATATTTCTTTCAATATTATAACTTAGAGGAAAACAATTTGAAACAGTTTTGCTCTTAGTAAAGCACAGAGAATGACTGTCAGCAAAGGTAAATGTCATCCATATTTTAGCCAATATTTACATTCAGATTTCATTAGTTTAAACAGATATCTTCCAAATACTACACAAGAAATACAGTCCAATTTGCTTGCGATTCATAACTCATTACTAGTATGAGTTTTTATGTCTTAAAAATGAGATAGCTTGCAAATGTGAAGATGATATATTCAATGCAAAGATAATTTTTGTACTCCCCTTCACATATGATCTAAGGTTGGGTCTGCTTTATACTGTTTGCTGTCTATTATATACATGTCACTCTCGAGACTTATGAACAATTCCATTTGGTTACTCTGGTTAAAGCATTTATTTTCTTCAAAAATCATGAGTAATGCTTATCATTCAATATATGATATGATTAGGCTACTACAACAGTTACTACCCCCCACCAACATTCACACACACACATACACACACACACACACACACACACACCCTCTGCAGGATATAAATAAAATAGTGATCCTTCCCTACACATGTACCTGGATGTATATCATCTATCTTCACAGTATACGATTAGCTATAATTGCCATACCTACTGGACCTGGAAATCCTCGTGGACCACTTTCTCCAGTTGGACCTCGATCTCCTTTTTCACCTGGAGGTCCAGGAGGACCTTTAAAAAAATTACAGTTATTGATCATAGTTATAAAGCATAGGAAAAATAGGTTAGTCATCTGTCAATATACTTATATAAGGAAATCCAAGGTCTTTTATTTGTTGTGCAATAATACAGAAAATGTATAAGACCAAACTTCATGAATGGAGGAATATTCTGCTATTCAGTAATATAATGCCTTATGCTAACAAGGATGACATTGCCTCAAAACAAACAACCTAACAATATATTAAATGTGAGTGTGCCTCACGCTTTTCTATGTTCTGAGAACCTGGGGGCAGAGAAAAGACAGCAGGCTGGCACAAAGTCGCATTAGCGTTGTACACATCCTAGGCAGTTAAACTTTGAGTTAGATATAATATGCAGTTAACTACTATATGGAAAATCTGTAAGTAAGAACTTAAAAGACACTTGTGATACCCTCAAGGGAAAGGAAAATTCACACACAGGAGACAACCAGAAGCACTTTGTTGGAACTGACCATAAACTCAGATATTTGTCAGTGAGCTGGAGATTGGCGTGCATGGTGATGGTTGAAGTCTTCATTGAGAACGTAGGATAATGAGGGGTACTTTCAAGAACGAAGAGAAGCGGAAGGAAGATAATTCTTAGGGAGTAGGAAAGGTATGAAGAAAGGCAGGAAGACTAAAATGAGTAGAGGAATTCTTTTTTCAAGTAAAATCCTAAGTCAAATTCCTAGATTGGTATAGATACTATAAACAATATGGAGACACTGCTAGGAAAACTTCGCTCTCATCATTTTTGTCAGGTGGCTCTCCTGAGCTGTGATTAAACAACACCGATTTAGTCATTTGTATTTTCTGTGTCCAGCAAAATAGATACCTGGTCATCACATCTTTAAAATGATTACACCTAGCTTGTCTTTAGAACTCAGAGGCTATCCTACCTACATACCATGTTCCATATGGAGTACGGAGGACAAATATTCTCTTCTTTATTTAAAGAAGAACACTTAGTTTCCTTTTCAACACCAAAAGAAAGAAACAGAAACATTATTCCACAGATTCACCACAGAATAGGGAAATAGTGATATTTTAAAGGAAACATTTTCATTTGTTACTGTCTGGTCACATACATGGTCCAAGGAAAACATACGATTGTATACAGCATCCCTGGTTAGAATGCACTTGTTTACAAATTTTAATCAGGTGGGAGGTATAATACCTGAAGAAAACTAAGAGGGGGCCACATAAATAAATAAAGATCATCTCATGAATAAGTATATTTTGTCCATTTTTTTGTTGCTTATTTTGACATCATTGACTCTACTTCTGTCTATTCCTCTGGTATGTCCCATTTTCAAGGTACAATTTGGGTTTTAGAGGCTCAAGACATCATTACTCTTCTCAATAGAATGCCCCTTTCTCTTCATATGCAGCATTGGACACACATTTAATTGTATTTTTACAATAAAAGCAACTCTACTTATAGGAAACATAAAAGCCTAGAAAAGCCATGAGGAAAAATATAATTCGTAGTTGTATTATTTTAACTAAAGATCTTTAACACTTCTTTCCTAAGTGTGTATGTGTATTTTTCTCCACATAATCGTCATGCAAACAACATATTACCGGGCTTTTAGAAATTAACCAGGGTATTATAATCTAAGGTATAGCTTAATTGTTGTGAGACATATATTTAGTGCTGCACAAGAAATGCCAGGTTTCTATATCTAAGGGAATTTGTATGTGCTCCCTATTCTCTGCAGAAGAATGTAGTACGTCCCAAGAAAAGGGGTTTAACCTGCATAACCATGAACACAGCTGCATCCATTCATCACTACATAGTGATGAATCAGAGGGGAGGGGGGCAAGCAGGACAGACATTCAATTTGCAACCTGAATTTTGTTGAACTAAGTGAAGGGAAGCACAGTGATAGTATTCAACGATGGTGTTTGGAAAAAAGTGCACAAGCAAAGATTTCAGTTTAGTAACTAAGGATCCAAAGCAAGACTCAGACATTCCAGGAAAAACTAGAACATGAAACAAAAAGAAACAATGGACACAGAGAATAGATCTAGCCTCTTAGCCTCTGAGATGGACTTCTCACCATTTCTTTGGTAGGTAAGAGATAGAAGGAACTCTCCTAATTACTAATTATCCTTTCAATTATGCTACATATAATTATGAGAACTGCATACAGCTTTAATTTTGGAGTATTAGTTCAATCACAGCAAATACATCTGTTATTTTACAAAATTTGGAGTTAAAGATCCCTCTCTGTAATTTTATATAAAAATACTGATACCCAGTATTCGAATTCTAGAATAAGAAAAACAGGTAAAGCTTTTTGTTAGAGTTCTAACTAGGCGTGTTGAATGTACATTTTTATTGTTATTCTATTCTTCACGTAACATTAATCTTACTTATTATGTTTCATTTTTGTATGTTGTTATAGCTCTTTTACTGTTTCTAACAAAATGTTGGAAGGATCTCAATAAATGTTTTAGGTGTCTTTTAGATACATTGGGGGAATAAAATAACAAATTATATACCACTTTACTCTTAGTTTCTGATGCAGAACTTTTCAGAACAATATCCACTACCTTGCCACCTTCCAAAACTAACCTCCTCTCCATTCCCATTGTAGCTCACGTCTTCACCGTCACACGGCTGGACTATTGCTAGAGCTTTTTTATCTGGTCTGAATGCGTTTTGTCTATTTCATCTCTATTTCCCTCAGTGTTGGCTTTCTTCTTCTTTTTGATAAGAATCTGTTTTGCAATGTCTCCATCAAATTAAGGAAATGCAGTAATCTATTCTGCCGTATTATGGAAAAAAGAATAAAGACTCAGAGTCTCTTGTAGTCACCTTCTTTGTTCGTAGTTTCCATTCAGTCTTTTCAAAATTTTGTTCCATATCGACATAATAACTGCCTCGTGGCATCAATAAATGGACAAAATGCTACCTGTCAGCTCCCTTGCTGATATATGTCAAAAAAAACTGGGTTAATATTGGCCAAAATATATGATTTACTCTAGTTCAATAAGCCATAGAATTTACATTATTTTTCATCTTTAATATTTTCAATTATAGTTATAGGAATAATTCATAAATACTATCACAATAATCTGCCATAAAGAATTACCTTTATAAAACACATGCACAAAATCTACTATTTAGCTTCCTCCATGATCATTTCTTAAAAAGGAAAATTAAGATTTCTATATAACCACAAAAAAGTACTGATATATAATATGTGATAATCATCAATATCATAGATCAAAATTACCCAATTTACTAGAAAAGCAAACCCAGGCATACCATATCATATTTAAAATTCTCAGATAACATAGCACTAATAATATCTGACTAAGTTTCCAGAGCTATGCTTCTCTAGTTTTTATTCATTACAAGCATTAATTTTCTACTTTGTTTTCAATCTTGTCTCATATTCAGATCATCATAAAAATCCGCCACATCTTCTAGTCTATTGCTGCCTAAACCTGCATCTTTTTTTTCTAGTTTTCATTCTCATTGATTTAGATATGTTTAATCTGGAAGACACTTTAAATATTGTTTAACTAAACATATTTATAGAGGGTCAGAGAGTGACTTGCTCAGGGTCTTAAAGCTAGTCGGGTAAAATCAGAACTAGAACATTTCATTTCTTTCCTGACATCCTATGCTACCATGTTCTAAATTTAATTGACTTCGTTTTCTGTATCTTTTCTTCCATTATTCCTGAGCTGAGTTTTTTCTTTACACAGTGGTTAGATAAACTCACAATTCAGGTTTTTTCCTTTTGTTAAGTGTTCGGTTTTTGTTGTTGTTGCTGTTGTTGTTGTTGTTTTCAGAGATGGGGTCTTGCTACTTTGCTTAGGCTGGTCTTGAACTCCTGGGCTCAAATGGCCCTCTTGTCTCAGTCTCCCAAAGTGCTGGGATTACACTGTCTCAGCCTCCCAAAGTGCTGGGATTACATTGTCTCAGCCTCCCTAACTGCTGGGATTACAGGCATGAGCCTACAGTCCAGCTGTTAAAATCTCAGTAATTAATTGTACAAAACTCCAAATTCAAATGTCCTCAGTTGCTTTTTCATTTTCTCTACTATAAATTTCAATATTTCTTTTTTGGTCCTCTTATATCCTAGGAAGCCAATATATCTAAAATCTTTCCAAGTAAACAAAATGTTAGCTATTCTCACCACAGAGCCATATTATATTTCATTTCTCTTAAATAACTTTCTCTAGAGTTCATCTTTGCTTCTTTAAATCATGTTATCCTCAACTCTCCACCAAACTCTACTTCACCATTTCCACAATGAAATTGTATGTAGTGCTTTAAGAGTCTAATTATTATAACTACTTGAGAAATGTATTAAAAATCTTTGTCTCTTTTAACTGTATAATTATTTAGTGATTATTAATACAAGGGAAGAGAGAACACAAAGTAATTACACTCATCCTACAATCAACACATGATAAAGGATAAAGCACTCATTAATTTCTAAAATATGCTTCTTAAGTTATAATTTAATTAATATATATTTTACGGCTAGGTGCTATAAGAGATATAAAGAATAGTTTCTAATTGAAGTAACTTGTGTCCAGGAAGAGTTAACACTGTTCTGGAAGAGAATATCAGATACTTTTAAACTTAACTATCACATTAAGAATTCTCTTGTAAGAGAATACTTAATGTTCTGTATTAAGACAGAAATAAATGTCAGCTGGGTCTTACTATTGTTAGAACCAGCAAAGGTTTCATGTGAGAGGAAGCATCTTAAATGGACTTTGAATGATAAATAAGATATTTTCGAATACAAATCGAAGAGAAAATATTTCAAATAAAGGAAAATACATGAGGCAGCATGCACAAAGTACTGGGTGTATTAGAATCACAGTCAAATTAGTTGAAATATTTGATATACAAAAAAGACAAGGGAGGGAATGAAACATTCAAGATTAGTTAAGAGATACACTGAAGAAGATCTTGAGTACTACAGGCAAAATAGTATGTCTAATGAGGGGGCAACAGAGAGTCTTCATGCAATCTAAGACTTGCATTAGGAAGGCTGTATTCTACAAGGGTGCAAAAAGTATTACAGTCTGGGCAGGAAACAACTGCAACTCTGGCAAAGAAGTGATAAGAATAATTTATATGAGGATATAAAGAAATGACAAGGGAATAGAGAATACAGAATGGTGAGAACTAATAGTGGTCTTGGGAGATATAAAATAATTAAAATTGATAGCTTGCAAACCAGGAAGAATGACACTGCTATAACAGAGTGTAACTTGCTAAGAAGAAAGTGTGAGTTTCACTTATTCACTCAACACATATATAATTGCTCTCCCACTATTTTCCAGGCACTCTGACAGGCATTGGGAATGCAGAGGTAGACAAGAAGGAGAAGACTTAACCTCACAGAGCTCACATTCTACTGGAGAAGATACAAGCTAAACAAGTAAGCAAATGTACAGATGACATAATTTCATATAGTGGTAAACACTATGGGGAGATTAAAGGAAATCATGGTAGAGAGAGATGGGGGAGGTTAGAGTGAGAATGGTGGAAGGTAGAGGAGGTAACTTCAAGTGGAGCCAAGAAGGAGTAGGGATGTAGAGAAGAACATTTCAAGAGAAAGAAAAAATGTCTAATGTTCATTATGGACAGCATGAAATGAAACAAGCACTTTCTCTTTATTAACTTTTACTTGTTCATGGCACTTAATTCTTCCACATTTCCAAGCAAGGCTGAAGGATGACAGAGGGAAGATTTAGAAAATTAGGGCAGAAAAGTAGACAGGTGAAAGACCAAGTAGAAGTTTAAATTTCATCCCAAGACTAATGAGAAGATATTGGAGGATTTAAGCACGAGAGAGAAAAGACACATCTAGTGTAAAGACAGAAACCACACAACCACACACATCTAGTAATTTGTGTGGGTTTTCTTAAATAGCATTGTTGTTTGTTTGTTTGCTCTATTTAGAATGGACTAAGAGCAGAGGCAGGGGAAAGCAACTGAGAAATGGATTCCAGACTGGGATATGGTTGCTTGAATGAGAGTACTAATAGAGAATAAGAAGAAGTTTGATTTGAGATATTGTATGAAACAAGAATTAGTAGGATTTACAAATAGATTACATAGAGAATGAGAGCAGGGAAGTCAAAGACAGCTTCCAAGATCATGGAGTGAGCAGGTAGTTGGAAAATGACAAAACCATCAAAAAGACTGAAAATGCAACAGATTTGGGGAGGCGGATGGGGGTGGCTAGTTAAGAAGCGAGGATTTCGTTTTGAATTTGTAAAGCTTTGGACATTTATTTGAAATCCAAAATGGAGGTATCTAATTGTTAGAGAAAAATCTGATTAATTCAAATTTTTCTTTATCATCTGTTTCACTATGATAAATACTATATGTGATATGTATTCTGTATAAGCAAGCTATAAAATACAACAATAATGAGAATATCCTTGCAACATCACAATCCAAGAAATCGGTATCTACCTAGATGTTCCCCCTTCTCATTCATCTATTTCCTTTTCACAGATAAACATTACCCTGAATTTTGTGTTTATCATTTTCTTAAATTTTAAAACAACCATTCTATTACATATTTATGTGTCTGTAAATTTACACTATTTAATTTTACTAACTATAAGCATTAGAAGTAAAAATTATATATTGTTTTCTGGGACTTGTTTTTAGTTTTTTTTTCATTGTCACCACTTGATTATTAGGCTTCTTAATTTTCTCAAACTAATGTATTTGAAATGAAATCACATGAAGTTCTTAGTTCTATTTTTCTAGTTGCTAATGATATAAAATGAGACAAAATATTAAAATCATGAAATAGAGCTTAACAGACATGGAAGCTGGAATGAGAACATCCAATATGAATTTTATGTGAGTTACAGAGGAAAGGAGAGAAAGAATTGTGAAGAAGCAACAGTCAAAGTGAATGAAGCTGGTTATATTCACAAATTGATAGACATAAATCTACTAATATAAGAAGTACAACAAATGTTAAATGGATAAATTATCAATACAAAAACACAGATAAGTAAAACTGCAGATATGAAAGACATAAAGAATGACAAACCGATTGGTGGCAGTCATTTTAAGAACCATAAGAAAAGCTTGAAGCCGGGGGACCAATATTTTCAGCACACTGACGGAAGTAATCAAAATAACTGTCAACCTAAGAAGTGTGTATGTAGTACAACAACTTCAAAGATCAAAACAAAATAGAGAAAATGAAATCAGAAGGTTTCATTACCAATTTACTTTCACTAAATGAACTTCCAAAAGATATACTTCATGCAGAAGCAAAATAATCCCAGAAGAAATGACTGAGGTGCATGTAGAAGGGAGAACAATTGGTAAATTCATGGGCAAATTTAAATAAATATTTGTTGTGGGTGAGTGATGACTATCTGAGCCAGTGGTGCAGAGTTAAATAATTAACCAAGATGGTTATAGATAAAGAAAGACAGATTTATTAGCAAAAGCAGGAAAATACATTGCAATGAGGCAATGAGCAGGCCAGCAGAAGAGAAACTGATTGCCAGGAAACAAAGGTTTGCTGAAGATTTTATAGAATAGTGTTTATACCATATGCTGAAGAGAGCTTGTGCAGTACTGATAAGCCGAGGTTACAGTGGGTTAACTTGCAGGTATCTGGTGATAAGTTTCATGCAGGAAGGACCTACATGTTCTGGACCATGAAGAAAGGCAGATTTATAGCTTGTCTTCCTTCTCTTTTTGCTTTCCCTGGTCCTACCAGCCTGACTACTTTTCCCTAATTAGGGCTCCACAATATTGTCTGTATAAAAAAAGAAAAATAATATTGACTAAGTTCTCGATTAAAAAACTAATGTAGAATGAGCTATACAAAAACATTAGCAGGAAACTAGGGAAGAGGATAATCAAAGCATTTTCAGTTCCTTGTGTATTTTAGGATGAACGTTAAGATACTGATCAACTATAGACTTCAAGATAAATGTTAAGGTCAACAATCAATAAAAATTACAAATATACTACAAAGTTTCTAAAACCTTTTTGGTAACTTTGGTAGAGAGAAAAATTCACCAAGAGAAAAATCTTCATGGCCAAAAGTGGCAATAAAGGAAAGCAAAAGAAACATAAAATAAACTGGAGAAAACCAGAGCACAAAATAAGAGAGTGGAAATAAATACAGTCAAAAGAGATGGTCAGATTACATATTTTTTAAAAAGAAAAGGTAAGTGTTCATTACAAGAGACAAACCTAAAATAAAGGATAACAAAAGGCAAAAGGTTGCAGTGAAAATATAGAAAAATACCTGCAAATTGTTGAGATCAAAATATAGAAAAAAATCTATACTGTAAAGCTAAAACTAAAATATCTAAAATGTAAAGCCAAAACTGAAAGTGCATATATATATATATATCTCTTTGGTAATATTGGTAGAGAGAAAAATTCTTATATATTCCATATGCATATATAGGCAAGATTTAGTTCACCATTTTTCACTAAAGGGTGCTGCAGAAGAAATGGACAAATCCATCATTATTTTGGAGAGTTCAAAGGATCCTTTTAATTAATAATACAGTCAGGTAAGAAGTAAAAAAGACTGAAAGTTTTGAAAAAACAATATTAACAAGCTTGGTTTGTAAACATGTGAAGAAACTTGTAATTACAGAAAACTTGTATTCAGTACTTATGAGGTAGTTTTTAACAATGAGCAAATCATTAGACCTTAAGATATATTTGGCTTATCCCTTTCTATTTAAATGACACTCGGCTACTGGTTATTGTACCCTGTCTTGATCTGATTTTAATATTCTTTCCTCTGGGTATCTGTAGTAAATATATGCTCAAAAACTATTTATTTCAAACCACAGGATTTCAAATATCAAATCTCTGCATGTATCAGTATATTTTAATATATGTCATTTTCTGGAGGAATGACAAGATGTTTTACCTTGAATTAAAGTGATATTTCTCAAGGTCTGAGAATGTTCCCAGTCTTTCAGTCTGAGATCATTGGTGATGTTATTCAGTACTTTCACTTCTCCTTTTATTTCCTGTTCCAAATGCACTTGTTCTTCTTTCATAGCCATAATTTCTGCTGATACATTGTAAACACGCTCCTCTAATTTACTGATTTCCTGTAAGACACAAGTAGGCATCCACAACCTTTTACATACATAATTATCAAATATGAAAGTTCAAGAAACCCTCGGAGTTCAGGTTTTTAAAAACATATGACAGGAATTTTATGGAATAAAAATATGGAGATTAGAAAACTGTTTTGGAAGTAGTAATTCTTTAATTGTGAAACATTTCCTCTTTTGACTGAATGGCTGAATGTTTATAATCACAACCTCTTTCAAAAAATCAATTTAATATATCTATGATATGTTTCTATTCCCATATATAGAGATGTCAAAATGCTAACAAATTTAAATAAACATCATAAGGTTTTAATTTATCTGAAGTAAAACATCTTCATACTGTACTTAGAGTGGCAACATATCCAAATTCCATAAATTTGATAGATTTATATGGGGAAATTGTTTTATAGTAATAAGCAAAGTTTAATGTCATAAGCCTCAGTGGTGATGAACATTGACAATAGATTTTCATGCCCAATAAAACCCCAAACTCGCATATTAACAGTGCTTTCCCTTCAGTTTGCATTGCCTCTGTATTTGAGGCATTAGTATTTTGTGTCTTCAGATATATATATATATTTTGTGTTTATTTATACATATGCATTCATAGACTTAGAGTGTGAAAAAGAGAGAGGATCTTCCTATATCCTGGAATATGCTTTTATATTTTACTCAGTAATATATTAAGGATATTTATCGATTAAAATACTTTAGAGAATGACATTTTCAGTAAATTAGTGGAATTGAATCTATTTCTCAAAATTTATTTAGGATTCCTATTCACAGTGTTTTGAGCTGTGCACTTTTCTACAACTTTAAACAATGCTGCCATGAACGTCATTTTAAATGTATTTATATATTGATGTCAGTACTTCTATAGAACATCTTCCTGGAAGCGGATTTGACCAAAGGGACTAAACATTAAACAGTATTTTTGTTCAACCATTGCTGTACTTCTCTCTAAATATATGCGACCATTTTTCTTCCTCTTACTGCGTGTCAGTGCCCACTTTTTGCAGCTAAATACTGGGTACCATTAATATATTTTAATTTGCATAATAAGAGTAGGTACATAGTAAATCATTATTATTTAACTTGTTTTTCAAATTATAATGAGGTTAAATCACCCATTCAATTTCTGACAATTAATATTAATTAATTTTTCTTTTAGACCCTTTGCTTGGTTTTCTCTTTTGCTGTTGGGCTTTCTCTTTTTGACGAACCAAATCTTCTCATCTATTCTGGTAATAATTTTTGTCTCTCTGTTCTACTTGTATCCCATTTTCTGTCTTCATTGTATGCTTTATCATTGTATTAATTACTCCTATGTTCTAAAGTTGATAAATACTCATTTCCCATTTGCACATGGAAATAAGCCCGTGGTATATTTTTCTTTAATCCAGATGTAAAGAGAAAATTACACTCTCCTGAGCTGGACTGGACTAGACAAGCTGAGGTGAGAGGATCAAGATGGTCAGGAAGTAAGACCTTTGAAAATAAATGAATGTGCATCTAGATTTGCCTCTTCAATGACACTATACATAAGCAGAGAGGCTTATCAGCTTTCACTGCTCTAACTGTGCCTTCTTCCAAACGAAACCTTATTCTAGATTAGAATTTCTCTGTCCTGCACCTCCTCCTTCCCTGACCATTTGACATTTTCTGTACATACCATCATCACAATAAAGGTGAAATGGTGAGCGTGGATGTTTGTAGAGCACACCACCATGATAAATACGCTTGACTTAATTTAGGTGGCTAAAAATTGCTGCAAGTATGTCAGGTAGTTCTACACGTTCAGCATAAAGTGTTAAGGGACTAGAAAGTGATTTTGCTTCCTAGAAACCAGGAATCACTCAGCTTTTTCATCACACCGAAAAGCTGAGGCTACTTTTTATTTTTATCTTTCTGAGATGGAGTCTCGCACTGTCACCCAGGCTGTAGTGCAATGGCATGATCTCGGCTCACTGCAACCTCCGACTCCTGGGTTCAAGTGGTTCTCCCAAGTAGCTGGGATTACAGGTGCACACCACCACACTGGGTTATTTTTTTTTTTTTTTGTAGAGATGGGGTTTCACTATGTTGGCCAGACTGGCCTCAAACTCCTGACCTCGTGGTCTGCCCACCTTAGCCTCCCAAACTGCTGAGATTACAGGCGTGAAGCACTGCGGCCAGCCGATGAGGCTACCTTCTTATTCCCTTCTTTGAAAACTGCATATGGTGTTACATTTGTCAAATTTCACTGGAAATTATTTTCCCTGGGAGGAGGAAAAGTGCGTTTAATTTCAAAAAATCCTATACAGCATCCATGCACTCCCTCCACACGCTACCACCAGTCACCCTCCTAGAAACAGGCATTTAATTTTGTAGTCATATAGTCCTTTTGACCTCTATCGATGGAGATGATAGATGCCACCTCTGTTTTTCATTTGCTGCCAATGTTCTTCCTTTTTCTTTCAAATTAATGTTTGGTGTGTCCTTAATAAGTGTTATGCTGGTGTCACTTATAAGCCATTTCCTCAAATGACATTTACAAATTCAGGCATTCATTTAATTTATTCCTACATTGAGCTAAACATTCAAAGATCAATAAAATTATTCAAGCAATGGGGATGAGAGTCCCAACATTGTTTTTCAGTGTACACAGGAGTACACACACACACACACACACACACACACACTGGCACTGACCTAGTTCCTAAGTCTCTGTGAGTGACTACTGTTTCTAAAGATGTATATAGGTTTCAAAGTTTCACCATTCCCTTGTATTTCCTTTTCTGATGCTGGAATTCCCTCCAAAACGTGTCTATGCAAACTTGAACAGCTCACTGATCACCAGATTTTGATTGTTTCCATTAACTATCACTTCAAACAGGTTCAAAATTTCTACCAACTTCCAAATGGTTTCCAATTTGCTTTCAATTTCTCACATATGTGGGTTCAAAAGCATACCACAGTCAGCCAGACACTGTGGCTCATGCCTGTAATCCCAGCACTTTGGGAAGCCAAGATGGGTAGATCACCTGAGGCTAGGAGTTTGAGACCAGCCTGACCAACATGGTACAAACCCCATCTCTACTAAAAATACAAAAATTAGCCAGATGTGGTGGCACGTGCCTTTGATCCCAGCTACATGAGATGCTGAGGCACGAGAATCACTTGAACCTGGGAGGCAGAGGTTGCAGTGAGCCAAGATTATACCGTTGCACTCCAGCCTGGGCAACAGAGTGAGATTCCATCTCAAAAACAAAGAAACAAACAAAAGCACTCCATGGTCCTCCAGGATTTAATGCACTGCCAGAATCGAATGTATCCTTCTTTTTCCATCTCATCCAGCTTCCCTCTCTCCTTACCTCATCTCAGTGCTCTTCTGACCCTATTTTTACATCAATAGTATTTCTTCTCCACTCTTCTTTCCCCCCAACTTAATCAATGTCTACCCCGATAACTAACATTTTAGCTTCCTCTCTTTTTTGTATCATCAAAACTATGGACGGTTTCTTCTTTGTACACTTTCTCTAATCTTTTGATAGCCCAAGACTTTAATATCCCAATACCCTTTGATATACTTACTTATTAACAATGTAGGAAACACTGATAGATTTTAGAAGTGACATGGAATAGAAACGGAATATCAAGGCATTGGGATGAGGTTCACCAACAGACTCCCCATACACAAACTGTAATACCATTGTCTTCTGACACCTTAAGTTGAGGACCATGTACAAGTTCAAAAGTTCTGAGTGAAACTTACAAGTCAAAAAAATCTAAGCACATCAAATGGGTCTGTTACAAAATTCACACATACAGAGTGTTCACGTCCCAAGATCTGCTAAGATACTCTAAAAATTATGATCGGTTTAGGCAGTCTAAAAAGACATTTTAACAGTATTTATAAAATATGTAAAGGGAGTCTATATTCAATGGGAAAATTTCCCCCTTTTTCTAAGAGTTTGGAGACAGCTAATCCATTTTAAATCCCTTAACATTCATTTAAAATCTTTTGATAAATTCACCACAGAAATCACGGTAAACAGGATAATGAAACAGGGTTTGCAACTTTTGCTTTCCTGTACCGCCTAAGGAGAAGAGACTTGGATAGATTCAGTTCCAGCACGTGACCTTGCCGTCACAAACTCTTACCTCTTGTTGTTTGAAGGTTTTCTCTTGGATTTTGCCATTCAGCTTTTCTATGTTGAGCTGCAAATCAAGCAGTGTGGTATTCAAACTTATTAAGGACTTGGAGATTTCATCTATTGTATTCCCATGTCCCTGGACTGAGGAAAACAAGGTACTTAGCTGGAGAAGAATGTCATTAAATCTTTGATCAGTTGTCATGCTGAAGTTTTGGAAATGCTCTGCATCTATGAGATTGGCTTCCATGTCTGAAATGTGCTGGATTCTCTTCTCCATGTTGCTCATGTGTTCCATAAAGACTTCTTGAAATCTCGTTTCCGCTTCACTGTCATTTCCTTTTCCTGTAAGACTTTGAGTTATATCGTCTGCATTAGTAGAACCAACGGAGCAATTTTTCGTTTCCCACTTCAGAAGCTGAGCTGTATATTTAAGTAAAAATAAACCAGTCATGGTCTGATCCTTAAATGCACACACTATCCCATCCCATATCATTCCTTTCCGTTCGTTTTATTCCATTCCATTTCAACATTTTGAATGCTAGGCTAAATCAAGTATTCACTTTTCATCTACAATGTGTGAACTACGCTAAGTATATTGCTGAGAAGCATACATTCTCCCTTTCCCATTTTATGTTAAGATGATTCCAGGATTATATCATGCTTTCTGAATTGCTGCTTATAGGAATCTTCTTGGCCACTGATTTTGGTTTTGCCAATTCAAAACAATTCTATAGATTATGAAAGGCAATGTATCTACAGAACTGTTGTTAGAATAAAGTGAACTAATGCTTAATCCAGTTTCTGAAGTAAGCATGTTGAATAAGTTAACAATGATAATGATGATCATGAGGATGACAAAAGAAACATGTGGTAAAATACTGGTATCATGAACAGTATGGATAAATTGTTGGTTTATCTTCATTCTTTCACTTGAGCTGCCAGAAAAGTGTCATTTTCAGTTAACACAGACCTAATTCACAGTTGGTAGAGCAGGAAGTTGGGCAAATACTTTTTTTCTCTTTATAAAAGTACTATTCTCATAACACTCCTTTTTAACTATTATAAAATATATATTCACAGCAGAAAATTTAGAAAATATAGATAATATGAAAAAACAATTTACCATGAATCTCTCATCCTAGCTTAAACTCTAGGATTTTGGTGTATATATCTCAAACCTTATCATATTATTAATCTTAAAATGTGACATTTTAAAATAATCTGGACACCACTTTTTAATGTAATGCTCTATCATAAGTACTTTTTCCTATTATTAATATTTAATATTTTTCTACAAAAATAATTTAGGAAACTCCATTGTATTATATGCATGGATCTGCCAGATTTATTTTAGAAAACAGCTGCATTTAGTTTGCCTCTGTTTTCAGTAATATAGTCAATGTTTTGATGAACAATCTTGTGATTAATTATTTACCAAATTAAAAAAATTGCATTCCAAAACAGTATTTTAGGAACATAGCGAGTTGCTGATAGATATCCCCAAATGGGCATGTGTTCTCTAAACAAGCTAATTATCATTCTGAAATAATCTAGAGCAATATGTTTTATAGTTTCAAAAAATAAAAGGCATAAACATTAACTTTTTATATAAAAATAGGCGGGGTGCATTGGCTTATGCCTATAATCCCAGCACTTTGGGAGACTGAAGCAGGTGGATCACGAGGTCAGGAGATCAAGACCATCCTGCCCAACATGATGAAACCCTGTCTCTATTAAAAATACAAAAATTAGCTGGGCGTGGTGGCGGGCACCTACAGTCCCATGTACTCAGGAGGCTGAGGCAGGAGAATCGTTTGAACCTGGGAGGCAGAGGTTGCAATGAGCTGAGATCATGCCACTGTACTCCAGCCTGGGCAACAGAGCGAGATTCCATCTCAAAACAAAACAAATTCTTAATTATAGACAATGAGGAAAATGTTAAACACAATCTTATCACTACTCAGTGATGGTTGAAGTTTTCTGTTTTCCTGTATTTCTATATATGTATCTGTTTATACCTTTTACTGACATGTATGTTACTCATATTCATATTAGATTGGATGTATAAGATTTTCCACATTTGACAATTATGGAACAATAAAAAGAATAATTTCATATTGCTAAAAAATATATGCAGCTCCACCTGAGTCTATCAATTTTCTTAATAAAAGTGATATGATGACAGTACAATTTTTATAGATTTTTGAGAATTAAACAACACAAGAAAAACATTTAGTTCTACCCCTAACTCAAGGGTTTTGTTCCATAAATTAGAGCTTGGTGTTTACACAGAATCTAGTTCCCTGATTCTAGAATCTTCCTACACTACTCCGTTACCAACTAGGCTACTCCGAACAAGTTACTTATCCCTCTCCTTGCTTTGGTTTTCTCAATTTGTAAAAGTAACAATTACCTCAACAATGGTGCTGAGCACAAATGAAACAGGCATATCTATTCCTCTACAGTGCCTTCTAAATGAGAGATACTATCTATCAGTTATATCCACCGTATTTACTACCTTTGCTTAAAGAGGCTGTGGTTGGATCACCTGAGGTCAGGAGTTCGAGACTAGCCTGGCAAACATGGTGAAATCCTGTCTCTACTAAGAATGTAAAAATTAGCTGGGCGTGGTGGCACACACCTATAATCCCATCTACTCTAGATGCTGAGGCAGGAGAATTGCTTGAGCCTGGGAGGTGGAGGTTGCAGTGAGCCGAGATCCTGCCACTGCACTCCAGCCTGGCTGACAGAGCTAGACTCCGTCTCAAAAAACAAAAAAAAAAGAAGAAGCTGTTTGATGAGCATTACTGCTGTAGCTATTATTAGATTAAGAGTGTCATCCTAAATATATAATTAAATTCTAATTTCAAAAAATATATGATACCATATTTTTCCTGGTTTTATTAATTTAATATTAGCTTATCTGAAATAACAAAATGTGTGTGACAAAATTTTGATGTGATCTACAATAGAATTTGTATTGAGTATGTTATTCTGTATTTCTTAACGTATCAATAGCTTGGAAATAAAAGTGTATTTCTTAACTGTATTTCATCACATTTACTAAATTCATTGTGGGGAGCAAGTTTTGGGTTGACAGCCTCGTCCATGCATTCGTTAATTCTATGATTTAATTATTATATACTATGCAGAAAGCACTGCTTGAGTAACTCTGGGAATAAAAGAACAATCAGGAATGGAATTTGACTGTAACAATCAGAAGCCCAAATAAACATTTTTTTCAAAATTACTTCAAAATTTTCCTCTAGCATTGTCCTTTTTTGATTATTATTTCTTTTGAAGTAGCAGTTAAGAATTTAGATTCTAGAACAGAACTGCCTAGATTAGCAATTCTGGCTCTGCACTTTATAAACTATGGCATTGGACAAGTTACTTAATCTGTCATTGCCTCTTTTTCACCATCTGTGTAAATGGGGTACTAACAGTCAGTGTCCAAATAATTAAATGAACTATATGTAAAATACTTAGACGACTTCCTGGCATGTAATAAGCATTTGATAAGTTTCAGATTTTTGCTATTATTAATATTTCGATTCAAGATGTGTGATTCAAGTACCTATATGCCCAATATTGATTGACTATGGGGAATTAGCATTGTTGTGATAAAAATATTTTTCTGGAGTTGGATGTTACCATGAACACAGTTATCTCTATGCTTTATTTTACTATGCACATTGCCCTTATTACTCAGCCATATAGTTTTACTTTCATTGGAAATAAGATTTATCAGTAAAGCTAATATTTTTCACAATATGGAAAGAGAAGCCTCAATTTGACTAAGGTCACATGACCAACTATTTTTAATTTGACAACAAGTTAAACATGAGTTGACAGTAAATGCTACATTTTATTAACAGATCTAAAAACAAAAATTGCCTGTTTCATCAAACCCTGAGTGAAAACTAATTTTTCATTAAAATGTTAACTTTTTGTCGTATATCTAGGTAAAGAATGCCAGGGTTTATATTTCAAAAGTTCACTTATTTTTATTGGAGAGATGGCATTTTGTGACTTTTCTGTTTCACATATGAAAGGAGACAGAATTTTATGGTCTGTGCAAAAACCTAAGGACAGGGTTATATTTGATTCTATAGATCATATCTACTCTTTCATATTGGAATTATCTTTCCCTACCCCCAATGGATATTGTTTTCAGCTAAATAATTTTTAGTATTTCAGTAACAATTTATACATATATAAACCTAAATTCTTGATTTTTCCTTATTGTTCTGACACAGTATTATGTTGTCACACTGATAGTGTTTCAGTAGCTTCTTTAAGGAAAGGTTGTAAATGGAATAAACCTTATAATTAAGAAAATAACCCTCAATATATAATTCACTTCATATTTACAGTTTTATATATAATATTCTATTTCACCCATCAATTCATAGTTGCCAAACTTCTATCATTTTAGGAATCTATTTTGTCTACATTTGTAATTTTTTATGCCAGTAGAGATATATATTGCTTTTCCGTTTCTTTTAGAAAAATGTACTGATCTACAACTTAATTAAAGTTGTAAGTGGATTGTCAGTTATTTCTTATTAATACATAATAAACATAGTGAAGCCTTTTCCAAATTCTGGTGAATCCGGTACTGATGTGAACTTATAAAATTTGAACATTCTTAGGATCTAGTCAATTTTAGTATGTACCTATTGTAGTTTTAGTAAACAGACTAGTTCAATCGTTGTAAACTCCAGAACAAATCTGTTGACTTGGTAGTATTTTCTAATAGCTCAGGGACTTTGAACTTGGTTAGAACCTTGAATTATTTTCCGACTCCTGTCTGCATTCTGCATGAGCCTATCAGAAGCTGCAGTCCCTGGTCTTGGCTCTGCAGGCAGTGATTTGCATAAAAGTGATGAAATGTACTCAAATTCTAATTGGCTTATAGGCAATAATCCCAACAATGAAGCATCCTTTAGTTAAGCATTTCAAATTACAGATAAGCATAGACATAAACAAACATACAGATAACCTTGATTATGAGGAAATTGACTGTTTATTGCCAAACATTAACATGCCCTTTTACTCAGACAACAATAGTTTGGTTGGTTGGTTTGGTTGTTATGGTTGGATTTTTGTTTTAGTTCATTTTTAACGGTCAAAAAGAAGTTAATTGTCACCTGTGGGAAATATTTTCTTGAGGTGACTTTTTTGTTTTTTGTTGGCCAACCATATTGTTTTATAAAAACTTAATTAAACTGGGAGACAATAGACCAGAGGTTAGGGTTCAGAAGTCTTGGATGGGAACTCCAGCTCCAATACTGAGCTGTCTGAATTTTCTTATGTAGATAATGAGAATAATTACAGTATCTATACAGAGGTTAATTGTAAGGGTATATTATTGTTTTTATCATTTCTTTCTTAGTGAAATTTTTGCTCTGTCTTGGAATACTTCCTTAGACTGCCCTGTAGTAGAGGAAGTTTGGCCTGGTCTTTAGAAACTTCTTTGTTGTTGTTGTTAAGCTGCTTAGTATGCACATAAAAATGTATCTTATTCCCCGCATATCTCTTATTAGAGCATATGGGCAGACATTTTATCAGTCATATAGAGAAGAGGAGAGCTATAAGGCATATAAATTCAAATGCCGATCAAAATACACCAAATCTATCCAAAATGCTACAAGGGGAATAATATTTACATATGTGCTTAAGGTGTATACAAGCTATCTACCCTTGTAGAAACAGTCAAATCTAACTCCAGTTCAAGTCAGCCTCTCCAAAGAAATATGTACCTCAAGAACATCATTTTGGGCCCAAGTAACACGTTCTATATTTTTTCTTTGAGAGGATGCTATCAGGTTATTTTTAGAGGTATTTTAAATAATATCCCTGTGAAAAGTATGGTTATATAAACTGGATTTCACTAAGTTGTATGCCATTATTCTACAAGGTCTCCTCTCTTTAAAAACTGACAGAAATATTTTTTCCTCTCTCAGTACTAAGAATAGAAGAGCTTCTCCTGGACAACAGGTTTGTTTGTTATATTACAGCCATTGTTAATGTAAATGATCACGTTATTTCTTCACATTGGTAAAACAAATACCTTGGAAATTTGTCACCCACATTAGAAAGAGAGGACTCTAGAGGATAATATATTTTTGAAAGCGTTTAGTCCTTTTCATTTTACTTTTACAAATCTTTATTTTTATCTTGCACTTCTTATTTCCATTCTATTTTGTCTTTTCTAATTTAAAAACTATTCTTTCTACTTAACTTCGCAGAATCTGTTTTTTAATTTAATAAATTTGAAGGACTCTTTGTAATATAGTGTTTTCTTTATGAATGTACCATATATAAAAGACTGAATGCTTCTTTTTCGCTGTGGCAATGAATAATTCACGGGATGAGTTACTAAATTTCAGAACTCTGGATTACGTTACCTGCCACTATTCCAATGAGAGGGATGAGAACTGCAAACACAAGGAGGTAAAGGGCAATCAGTGCAGCTTTGAAGGACTTCAGTTTCTCTTGAAGGGGAGGGCTGTTTTTAGGATCTAATAAAACAAAAAAGCCCAGCCTACTGTTAGAAAGTGTTATCTTCTTCCATAATTAAAATTGTTTTAATCTCCAATTACATTGTTACTACCAAGCCTATTGGAATAAAAAACAAGAAAAAATGGTCCACATTTATGCAGTAGAAAGCAAAGGGACAGTCACAGGAAAAGCCAATCCAGGTATTATTATAGACCCTTGATTGACTTATCCACTCACTAAATATCCACAAGAAAGTTACCATGCTCTACAAGTTGTGCTTGTCTGATTTTTTGGAATCAGTTGGTAAATTTGAATACTGACACTTACATATACAAACATAAATTTTATTCAGTGTTCACATGGGAAGATATTCTGGATGACAGTAAAATTTTCTAAAGTAACTATGTAATTTTTAATATTTTAAAATCAGATAAGGGAAATATTTATTTTCAATGACTACAATGTTAAAATAATTTTATTGTCCAATTCCTTCTCAGTAGTTTTGTATCTGGATACCTCTTATGATTTGAATACAATGTAAACAATATTTAAGAAAAATGAAGTAAACCAAGTGGTTCACATTTTGACTAATCTTTAGAATGGATCAATGAAGCCCACCTTCTCTATATTTCAGAACATATTAATAACAGCAACCTTTTATTCGTATGCACTTATATGGCACTGTGATTTATATAATGGGATATTAATTGTAGTAGAGACAAATCAATATAGAGGGGAAATAGTAGATGAGTAAGTCCTTTCTCTGATTAGGTGAACACAATGGTCATTAAAAATTTATTTTCTTTATTGCAGCACTATTCGCAATAGCAAAGACTTGGAATCAACCCAAATGTCCATCAATGACAGATTGGATTAAGAAAATGTGGCACATATACACCATGGAATACTATGCAGCCATAAAAAAGGATGAGTTTGT